CAAACGGAATTTTATATAAAATTCATATAATGACATATAATTCCTGAAATTTTCATTGAAATCCACCAAATAGTTTACGAGAAATCGCCTGCACAAAATTTTGTCTAAAAAAAAAAGAATAATAATAATAATAATAATAATAATAAGAAACAATAGAATCGCTATAAGGTCTTCCGTGAAGACGGAAGACCTTAATAAGAAACAATAGAATCACTATAAGGTCTTCCGTGAAGACGGAAGACCTTAATAAGAAACCGAGTAAAAACAATATGTTCCCAAACTCCGTTTGGGGAACATAATAATACAAGAGGCCCATAGGCCAAATCGCTCACCTAAGCACTTTGGCTAGCAAAAAAGCAAATATCAATCCAAGATTGAAAAGCTTTAACGCATAAGTGGTCCCTACCTACCCACAGAAGGGGATGGGGTGGGTATGATTTGAATGAACTTGAAGCTACACTAACGAAGACATCTTCGCTAACCAAGGGTTTCCGATCCGAAATCTACTCTACAACCCTTGGCAGATTTAGTCCTATCAAACCGGAACTTTAATTAGATTTCGGATCGGAAACCCTTGGCTAGCGAAGATGTAACGAAGAATGCTTATACATATTTCTTTGGCTTACTGTGGCTTCTTTCTCTATAAGTTAGAAAATTTCATTTTGGCCCCCACCCAACCCCTGGGGGTCATGATTTGAACAAACTTGAATCTACACTACCTTAGGATGCTTTCATATACTAGTAAATATGACCAATCATGGCTGTGTTGTTCTTGAAAAAATTTTTGAAGATTTTTCTCATATATTCCTATGTAAAACCAGAGACATATGGCAAGTTTGGTTGAAATTGGCCCAGTGGTTCTGGAGAAGAAGTCGCAAATGAGACAAGTTTACAGATGGACAGGCAGACAGGCATATACTACAGACAAAATGTGCTCATTTGAGCTTTCAGGTCAGATGAGCTAAAATGGGGTGGATAAAAATGTGTGTCAGTGATACAGCACTCCTATTTAGTTATAGATTTTGTGGTGCCGTTGAATCAAATATTTATACCGGTAATGACTAGTAAAAATTCCTTTCTGTTGAAACACTTTTAAAACATGATGAATTAACCCTTTCCATCACTCTTAAAGTCCATAAAATTTAATTATTAATATAATTATAATTGACTGATATCTATCAGAAAGTTATCAAGAGAATTTCAAACATCGTTGAAAAAACGATGCAATATTGTGTATATACTCAGGGAAGTTGGAAGGTCGGTATTATCCCCTTATTATGTACCGGTAGTATTCAAAATCTTTTTTGGAAAATAATCTCTGAACAACCTTACGGAGTATTTTCTAAATAACCAAATTGTCAAAATAACATCGTTATCGTGCACGATGTCCTAGTTTGTTGGGTACTGGCATCAATATCATGCACGTCAGTGTCATTCACGATGTCCTATTCAAGTACTGACATCAGCATCGTGCACGACGTCTTATTTTGAAGTCAGTGTCGCGCACGAGTCTTATTTTGAAGTCAGTGTCGTGCACGACGTCCTAGTTTGTTAAGAACGGAAAGTGTTTAGTTTTGAAAACTTGTGAACTGGAATTAAACTTTTCTTAAAACATTTTTAATAAAATATTACCAAAACTATACAAGGAAACAATATGCAATAAGAGCTAGACAATATGGGGTTACTGAAATTCACAGGCTGATCAATTTCTATTAAAAGTTGCGTCGAATAGTTTGCCACCGATTCCAGTTTGGCATTGTTTAGAGGGCAAATGCAACAAACATGTCTAGACGGACCCCCCCCCCCCCCGATACCCTAGAGTCTCGAAACCAAGGGATTTAGAGATAGGGTACATGCATAAAGTATTGTTATACCTTTAAAATTTGTTCCTATGCAAATCTATACGAAAAAAGTCTAATATTTCTGTTTTACAGAGCAAGCATAAAAAAAATCGATGCTGGACCGTTGAGTGAGATGTTGGACTTGTCGATGAGAGGTTGGATCGCGTCCGTCACAAAATGGGAGGAGCGTAATCTCATTTTCATTCGTTGGTGTTCAACAGTGAATGACATGAGGTTACATCACGGAAGACAATACAAAATACATGTACATGTGTGTCAAAAAAAAAAAATAAATAAAGTGAAAGGCACATTGTATAACAAAACATTTATTGACTATATTTTCAGGCAAAATGCGTTCTGTCGACTCTCGAATCAAACTGTCTGCCTGAGGCCTAACAGCCTCAGGCAGACAGTTTGGTTCTTGGTTCTTGGAACCAACAAAATGCATGTCACCCTCGAACTTAGTCAATAAATGTACAACGTATAATGTTTTCTATTTATCAGGAAATCAAATGGAAGCACACACCCCCCTTATTCTGTTCCTACGGTCATGAGCTATGTCTAGTATTTGTACTAGATGGGAATTGTCTAGTGTGTCAATTGCAAATTTTTTTATAAAATGTAGTTAGCTTTGAAAATGATTTTTAAGCAATATCATTTTGGTTTTCCGCAAAGCAATAGGCCAATTCTTATTCAATTAGTATTTCACCCTATTGGAAAATGTATGTGTTGAAAAACAATTTCACTTTGTCAAAGTCTTTCTTCTTCTTCCTTTTCTTTCTTTGTTCACATTTTTTTCTTTTATTAATCAACATAAAACACTTACTACTTTTGCCATTTTTGTCAGATTTTTGTTGATAAAATAATCTGATTAACAACACTTCAAAGGGAAAGAATTTAGTTCTGCAATGTTTGAGGATTGGCAGAGAATACAGGTCTGTACATCCTACTTCTATGATTGCAATAAAACATATATCAGAGTATACATCTGATCAAGAGTAATTTATCCTCAACACAGATGATTGCATTTTGTTACTCAAAATTCAATATTTGTGATATGTATTCAAAGGATCTTACAAGATTAAGCTAAGTGTGAATTCTGAATAATATGCTACTCTAAGAAAAACATTCACAACAAAATAAGGCTCTGCATCAGGAAGAAATGTATATATTGACAAAGAGTAGACAGACATACATGTAAGGTAACCAGTGTCACTTCATAGTTTGAAAAGCTTTGAAATTTAATACAAATATTCCTTTATAGGTGAATTTACAAGTATATAATTTAAATTCACAACTGTCAATTATAAAGCAATTAACGGTACTAATACCCACAAGTTCCGTTAATATCCTGCAAACAATTTCCAACATTTAACATCATGTTGGCTGTAGATACAGCATTTTTTAAAGCACTGACATTAGAAATATAGGAATCTACATGACAAGATTTAGTTTGAGAAATCTGTTGAAGATTACTTATTTCATTTTTCAAAACTGTGTCATTTATTGAGGAGTGTGAATCAATCTTTATGTCATTCACAGAAATCAAAGTATCCATTTTCTCAGTCACCATCCCACATGAACATTTCAGAGTGTCAAGGTCATAGTGCTCATCACTATCAAGTGGAACTCTCCAGCAGTGAAAGGTAGGATAGGCCGTCATCATCATAACCCCAGGGTACCCCGATGACCTGGCAACCTTTAATAAGCTATTACAAAAGATTTCACAGGCCGCTGATAATGCTGATGGTGTACACATGGTCTTCTCAAGAATTGAAGATCTTTTTTCTTCCATCTGAAAAATATTTGAATCCAGAATTATTTTTAATTTGAACTATGGTAAATCTGAAGAGTTACAAAAATAAATCAATAAAAAGACAGGACAAACTGTTTTTTTTTTCGTAGATAAAAAACATTATTCCCCCCCCAAGGAAACTTGTCAACCTCCTGCTTGGCTTAAGCTTCAAAATACTGTAAACCAACTTTTATTTGTGTGTGAGAAATATTTGCGAGTTTACCTACCTACTTTAAGTCGCGAATACTAATCACCCTGAACCATTGATTTTGCTTTGTTTTTGTTAGAAATGTTTCTTCATTCATAAAAAGAAATTGTCGTGGATTGATTCCAAACTGACAAATCGCAAATAAAAGATGACGTGAATAATAGTTGGTTTACAGTACACAAGTTTAGTTTGAGACATCAAGACAAAAGTATGTAATTAATGTAATTTTCCAAAAATCACATATACATTACAACAAGCATTCAAATTGAATAATGGTAAAAGGATGTTGTTACCTTTTGTTTGATACTGAATGCCAGACTTGTTTCCCAGCATCCTCCACCACAGAGAACTATGGGATACTGTATAGTGTTCTGTAAGCTACTCAATGCTGTCTCGCACACCAACTGCAATTCATGTATACTGTTACATTAAACAAGATTACTAAGCTAAATTAAGATACAAAGAATTACAATAAAACATAATTGATATGCAGCAGAACTTGTCTATATTTGATATTTGGATGTTGTGTTGTGTATTCCAAAGTTTTGTCTATTACATGTAAAATGAATCTTAAATTTTAATCCCTTTCTGTAAATTCAATTATCTAAATGTCTAATATGGAATGCTTTCTAAACCAACAAAGATATTTCTATGGAATCAGTCTCATTTTATTTTAAACAAGTTTTACTGGGGTTTTTTTTCTATTCATGTATATGTATTTGTAAATCCTTTAGAATATTTTTTCAACCTTTCTTAGTTTATGCATATACCTATATCATAACAATATGTCCCTGATCTCTTGATTAATTATGTGTTTCCCAGTCGTAAACATTTATTTCCTTCTGTGGATTATAATCTATGTTCCCATCTTCTGATTGAGCATATTCAGGTGACTATCATGGAAAATTTGATTGTAGATCACTTGCATTCTTGCTACACTAACATCTAACAACACCCATTGAGGGTCATGTCAGAGGTCAAATTCGGAACAGTGCTAGACTTATTCGCTTCTACAATATACGACGATTTTGCAGGTGACGATTTAGTAGGTTGATAGAATTTGACCTCTGACGTGACCCTCAATGGGGTGTTAGATGTTAGTGTAGCGAGTATGTGAGCAGATCCAACATCTAATTTTAATTAGATTGCACGTAAAGATTTAACCATCAGCTCTGTTCCACTTTCTCACCTTGAGCTCTGATACTGTCTCTTCCTCCATACCATACAACAAAAGGGAGTTAACTCCTCTGTCTGCTCTCTGTAAGTGGAGGTAACTCTTCTTGTTCAGAATGACATGGTCTACAGCATCCAACCAACCTACGTTCTTCATTGGGTCACAGGAGAATGAATCTATAGGGATTGAGCCTGCAAAATCAAGAAGTCAATTTATTTGTCATACCTCTCTTCATTTCCACAACAAATTCTGCATGTGTTCTAAGAACATTTCTAACATTATGTTTCAGAGCATACATTTGTCATAATCATGATAAGTGAAAGTTTTAATTTTTTTCCTTTTATTGCATTGAAGAGTTTAGAAGGGAGAAATCAATAATTCTCTTTTTGAAAAAATACCTGTCAAATCCTGTACATAGCTGGTAATCCTTGCTCCCATTCGTTCAATTACAAATACTCCCTTCCTTCTCAGATATGTTTTTATTTTTGGATGGATGACCCTTTGACACATAATCACTCCTACTTTATGGTCAATTATGCGATTACAAAATGTCATGATATATTCTATTACTGTTTGCTGTGCATTCACTTCAGTATTCTGATGATATTGACCTTGAATGACCTCTTCACTGTCACCCGACATGGATGTTGTCACCAAGGCAACCAAAATTCTTCCATCTTTTATCATGTTAAAATGAAGAGTCTTTGTCTGAGAAGAAGAAATTTCTGGATAAAATAATAAAATCCCTGGTAAATATTTAGACTGGTCCACTGATGTACCCTCTGAAGTCAAAATCATGACACCATTAGCATTCTTATGATCTTCTTTCATAGAGGTCAAGAAACATTCAACAAGTAAAGATGCTATATGCTTTAGACATTCACCTGACAATTTACACAGAGGTTTAGATGAAAGAATTGTTTTCACTAGTGATAAAATTTTAACAGTATTAGACAAAGAAAGATGGACTTTTCCTGGAAAACTGTCAGCATTCAACACACTCAAGGCCAGTTCCATCAGTTCGTCATTTAGTTCTATCAAAACTCTGTTATTAACAACAGAATTCTCGGCTGATTCCACAATATTCAGGCACCAGGCCATCAGAGACAATCCTCCATCACTGAACTTCTGAAGATGACCTTCAGCGGAGGTCACTAAGAGCTTAAGAAGTGGCTTTGATACAGATAACACAGGTAAAAGTCGCCCAGATGATGAGGTCAAGGTCACATGTCCACCACAAGCATTCTGTATGACCTTGACCTTACCATGTGGCCCCCGGCTAGTCTGGACTATGTTTTTTAATAATTTTACTCCTTCTAGGTTTTCTTTGAGCTCGCCATGATGAACCTTGCTCTCCTCCTTCACACTTTTCCTTCCACTCATTCCTATAGCTCTTCAATGTTATGAAGTTTCTTCTATCTCACTGACCCGAATAAACTGACTCTGTTCACGTCTCTTCCTTTCCTCCAGTTTAGCTCTCCTAATTTCATATCTTTCTAACCCTGTGGAGGGCACGTCCATGCGAATAGTATGAAGTTTATATTTCTCCAAAGCTTTCCTTAATAATACTGTACCTAACAAAATTCCTAAGAACTGTTTGGGTGATTTCACAATTCGAGTTCGAGTAGGTTTTTGCATTGTCAATTGGTAAGCATGTGATATATAGTATCCTTTAAATTATGGCTCTGTGAAAATAAAAGAAAGGAAAACATGAAACCCTGATTTTAGAGTCTACAGTCTTGCAATTTAATGGACAAACAGAAAGTCAATTTACAAAAGCCATTATCAATTTTAAAAAAAATTAAATCTGTAATATCAGGTGCATTTGCAAGGAAAACTAATTTTGTCTCATCTGAAATATTGTAGTCTGAAGTATACTCACAATGAATAATTTTCATAAATGTTATCAGTCTTTCCTTTCTAGCTTCTGTGCATATTTTTCCTTATATTCGGCAAAGTCATCCTTATCTAAGTTCACATATGGACGCAGTTCTGGATACTTCTCAAAAACTTCTTTCTTTGCAACCTCTAATAATTTTTTCTCTCTTTCTTCTGAGTATTTAAGCCAGGATATGTGCAGCAGATACCAAGATCCAAAAAAAGCAGTGAGGACAGCACCAAGCTTAGGGATATTTATATTACCTCTCATTGCTCATTCTATGCTAGTATTGTATGAGTCTTTTTGCCTCAGAAATCTGAAATCAAAATTGATTCATAAAGGCAAGATACATTCCTCAAATGTTACTTGTTATATTAAGTTTCTAACTCTCAAACCAAACAGCATTATTTACAGCAATTTAATTTAAACTGTTAAAACAATCCTAACAAATAAAATAAAGATTATAGATAAAATATTCAAAAATGTTTAGCTAAACAAACAGTCAAATTACTTTTTAACTGATAACAGATTTGCAACTTTTCCCCACGCTTCTTTATCAGTTTATAATGTATTGCATCATGAAAATATGAATTTAGCACGTTTGACCTTTCAAATATATCGCAACTGAGAAAACTCGAGCTAACTTTGGCATGTGTACATCAAACAGTTAAAATGTAGTAATTTTATGTATACTCAATAAAGAAACTTGTTACCCATTAATCATTTCTAACGTCAACAACACATTGCAGACACAGACTTGGGTAGTTTCTTATTAACTTGCCTGTATGATTCCAACATGCAACACCAAGTTCGATGAACTTTTGTGATCGGGCTCGACGTTCAAGCAGGGTTTATCGGGAAAGGGAGATGACTCTAAAACAGCGCGAAAAATGGAAAGGAGAAACTTTTCAACAAGGAATAGATACAACATAACAAAGTATTTAAAGGTATCTCTTTGAATTGTTTTCTACGAAAAATCTGTGCTATGAAATGTCTATAGTGATGTCATTTATGGTTTGACCTGAATCTGATGACGACTCCGTTGCTAAACCTAAGGTCATGAGTGGTGAGAACATCCATATGACATAATGATATATGATCATGATGATCCAACTTTTCTGTTGCTTTGGGTGACCAAAATATCGCTTAAAGGTTTTATATATTCTGATTTATCCAAATTTTAAGTTAAATTATATAAGACCAGTGCCAGTATTTCTTCTTCATCATCTTTTTTTATGCAAATTTCTTGAATAAATGATCAATTTAGGTCTCTATGAGTAAGACACGTACAGGAACTTGTTTCGGAAATAGATATTTAATCCAATAATAATAACACAGGTATCTAACTCCAAATTACATTCAGTAACCCCCCTCCTCAGAATTAAACTTGTTTCATTTACACTTAAAGAGAAAATATACTGGCAAACAGTTTTTTAGTTTATTTAATCTCGGGAAAAGAGCAAATTTAAAAATGAGTGGGTTTAAAAACTCAATTTCAGATTATAAATGTACTGAATAAATAAAATTTGATTATTTGTCATTTTCCATAAACACACTACATTTTTCTGATGTAATTTTAGAAACAGATTTTTAGCAAATCAAAATCTCTATGGGATTAGCATACACCATTTCATGGTTGAATTTGACTTTTCCACTCATCGAGAAGAGTTTTGACTTTGTTTACAGAGATAAAAGAAAAAAATTGGACATGCATGCCATATATGGTCAGTGCATTTCCTCTGAAAGTGTAAATTAATGCGTTTCTGAGGAGAGGGGTACTGAGTGTAATTCGGAGTTAGATACCTGTGTTATTATTATACTAGGGGTTAATTTTTTTTCTGAAACAAGTGCCTGTGGCTGTGCTCTATGATCCTGATCATGTTTATTTAATGTCCAATGATTATTTAGCATGTTTATTCATTGTTATTTAATGATCAATATGTTTATGCATGTTTATTTATTCAATGATAAGAAAAGGATTGGGATGTGAATTTCAGCCAGTATAGCTTAGTCAGTAAGAGCATCTGACTAGTGATGCAGGGGTCCAGGGTTTGATTCCCGGTCCAGCCATACTTTCCTGTTACAATAGAAAGAGGAGGCATGAAGGAAAATCAGTTATGCTTAATTGAGTTTCATTGATTTTAGGTTAATGACAAAAAAGCGATTCAGATGGAGATTCATAGAACTAATAATGAATCCTCCCAAAGAAAGAGTTCAAAGAGAGTGGAAAGAAGGCACTTAAAGGTACTTACCATCAGTGTACTATCAATCATTTTATGAAAGGAAAATTCCCTCCATTCTTTTTAACTGAAAAGCCCTTAATTTAAAAAAGAAGAATGAAAAAATGACTCAAACATGTTAGTCACTAAAAATGCTTGTCACTTCAACAGTGTTCAAGTAGCTGATTTCTGTATATAATGTTGTGTATGCTCTGTGATAGGAAATAGAGAGTTTACTACGAGACATTGTCACAAAGCGTATAGAAAATGAAGACAACAAAAGTAAAAGCACTTCAACAGAAGCTAAAATTATAACAGGTTAGTATTGTCACACTGTTGACAGGAAGTAATTGATTATTTAGTATTAAGTTTGGCAAAGGCACCTTTGAAGCTTAAATAAGCTAACTTTGTATTTAAAATCCAATCAACAACACATATTATCTAGTCTTCCAGGATGCATTAAACAAACATATGAGAATGACATTATGGGGACTTTGCTTGTCAGTATTTGTTAGTAATGCAACTATGTCATTGTGAATCTACTAAAATGTCAAGACTGTCGCGTAGTTTCTAATGTTTGACTTTTTTTTGCAGAAAACTTTTTTCAAAATTCTACTTGAATTAAATTTTAATCAAATCTCATTGTCAGTATTTTGATCAAAGTAATTTATACATCTTTTAGTACTGGTAACAAAGACAAAATTTTAATTGGGATGTGTATTATTCTTTTCCATTAAAGGTGAGATGATTAGACTCGGATATACCTTCAAGAACAAAAAAGAAAATCAGATTTTACTTTTATCTGATGGAAGTGATGAAGAAGGTAAGCATATACCATAAAACACACTTATAACCAACTGATGCTTACAACGAAGTCTTTTTCATTCCTCTTGACTTTGAAATAAATTGCAAACTTAAAGGATATAACAAATTACACTTATATAGAAGAAAAATCATTCCACACTGGTACTTCGATCGTCATAAGCATCTTTTACTGTATGTAGCTCTCTGTGTTCCAGTTCTTTGATATTTAGTAGATAAAGACAATTCTTTGCATTACCCCGGTACTAAGTTTGGGAAAATCAAACCCTTGCAGATTTGTATGCTCACTCTCTGAAGATTCATAAAGAGAAGTTAGTGGTGTTCTACTATTCTTTAGAGGAGCCTGATAGCCCTGGTTCTACTGCACACATGTCACAGGTCAGCTACACATATTTTCAAGCTATTCTCCATCTATGCTAGCCACGTGTTTCTGATTCCATAATTTCTTCACAAACCATTGGCCTATTATGTTATCAAAGGTTGGGGTTTTTTTTTCCAAGAGAAAAAAAAAGTCAAGGGTCCAAAAATATATAAGACTTATTTGAAAAAAGATCTCTCAATACATGTACTTGTGATTGATTTTATCTATATTAATTTATGCCATCTCTTTTTGTAGATGTTAAGAGCATTGAATGATGGGAATCTGTCTCAGTCACAAGCAGGCACTGTTAGCATCAGTAGTTACTTCCGGAAGAAAAATCCTTCTTCCGCATCCATCAGAGACAAGAAAACTGAGTCATCCAAGGAGAAAATCAACACAGAATGTACAGACGGAAGGACTAAGGAAAAAATAGATCAAGCAGATGTTTCAGATCATACTGTAAAACACCAAGCAATCAAGAAAATGTGAGTTTATGTAGTATTGTAGATTACTTGCTTGTATAATATAATATGTAGCTATAATTTTGATTTTACTGGTTGAAGAGGAGAAGGGGATATGTGTTGGTTAACGGCTCTGTTGCATGTATGTGCCTGTGGTTGTCTGATTGTGCAGTGTTAGTTAATTTAATCATTAATTTCAATAAAACTAGTTACATTCAATTGTACAGTAAAACTTGTTTAGTATGAACACGGATATGGTGAATCCACGGATATAGTGAAGTTATCTTGGATCCCCAGCTGTTTAAATTTAAAGAATTCCTTATACGGATATACCGGTAAACAATTATGGATATAGCGAAGTAATTTTATTCATCATTCATCATAACCAAGATTTACTGTAATTGGTTTCTGATCATGATGAATATAGTGTTTGA